AACTTGAATTTATTCATGAAATCACGACCTAGTATGAGAGGACCACCATTAGCTATTACATAAAACCTTGCAAAATTACACATACCGTTATAACAAACATCTACATTAAAATACCCTAACGGATTAAAGCTATAAGTCTTTAAAATCATATTGTTGAACCTATAACCACTAAAATCTCTTTCGTACATACTAGCACTAGTACAGGACACGGAGCTACCAGAGTCAAACATCGCGCTATATTCCTTATCATTAATGCCAATGGTTAGCATCAATGGATTGTCTAAGACCTTTTTGTTTGAACTATTGTTAAATAAAGTTATTTCTATTTGTTCGGCTTCCTCACGATTGATGTTGGTTACATACCTGCTTTCTTCCATGTAATTTAAGTTGCTTTTTTTCTACAGACCTTGGATAAATGGCCCTTAACACCACACGTTCTGCAGATGTATTCCCTGTAGTTGCACCTTCCTGCACGAGAGACTCCACACACTCGGCAATTTCTTCTAACCTCTCCTGTCTTACCTTGCGACTATAGTTGGCGCTGTTGCTACTTCCTCCTCCCGGCCTTGACATTTGTCTTCCGTTGCGATGGACGTGTTCCGTTCGATGGGAAGTGTCGCCCTGCCGTTCAACTGCCGATCCTGCGCCTTGGTGTCGAAACTGCCGCTGCTGCTGTTCTCTAATACCTGGACTATTCCCTTTGCCTGGTCTCGCCTTTCCTCCGATAAAATTTAAATCTCCTTCACCACTACTGCTCCTTTCTTTATCACCTCCTTGGATCTTCATGTTTTCACACTGGATGGCTAGGTTTTTTAATTTGTCCAGCGCTTCATCCACCTTCTCTTCACACAATCGGTAAAAAACTTCGCCCTTTCTTAACCCCGTTATAAATTTGTCTTTCACAATGTCCATCAACGTACTGTTAAACCCACAATTTACAGCCAAACTGCACACACGTGCGTACCATGCTGCTACATTCTCTCCGCCATCTTGTTTGACTTCGTAAAATTTGTTTCATTCTCTCCAAGCACTCACTTGCTGACAAAAAAGTTTGTTTAAAATGGCACACAACTCCACATAGGTTTTGTCTTTGAGTAAGTTCGGGTTACACAGACTTCTCAGTAATAAGTATGTGGTTGGTCCCACTACACTTAATATATTAGCGACCTTTAATGGTTCAGCGGTGATTCCATTAGCGATAAAGTACTGTTCCAGTCGTTCGCTATATACTGTCCAGTCACCATCGTGGTCAAATTGTGGCACTTGCACTCTTACACTAGTCGCCATCTTTTTTTTCGTAGCCGTCCTTTTTACTTTAATCCTCGTCGCCAAGTTGTGGTGTTTTAGGTCGGGAATAAGTTAAAACCCACTATGATTTATCATACTCATATATTACGGGGAATGTTGCATACAAAGTTCATATAACACATCAACATTAACCGCAGACACGGAAAAGAGTCCGCTCCATCACAGGCGAGGCAACCCCCAACCCCATGCATGAGGACGAATGCTGTCCTTCATCGCCGGTCCCACGTGACCGCTTCCGCTGATGCAGCTACGTTTCCTGCTTTGTTGCCAACACACCACAATTATTATTACCTGCAAAGAAGAAATGATTTTTAATGGATTTTTAGACGCGACAAATTATTTCCACAAAACTTAACATACATATTGGTCTATTCTGTAACGCTTTTGGTTAAATTTTAACATCAAGAAAACAGTTAAAATTTTAACCTCCTATTATTTAACCCTAAACTGTAAATATTTTTAATAGGTTTATTTTAATCAAATATGTTAAAATTTAGCAGAACCAAAATAGATACTGTTAAAATTTGTACCTGGCTTCACAAATGGTATAATTGATCTCTATTATTTTTTAAACGTTATACTCGCTCTACAAATTACATCATTCCAAGCTTTATATGCAACCACAATTTATGTGGTTACAATTTGTTATAAAATATTTTTGACTTCCAAAAAGTCAACAATTAACTGGATCTGTTATTTTGTCTTGTTTTTATTTTATCTTCCATAACTCGGTTGAATCACAAGAATCTTATAAATTGTTTACTAAAAAAAAAAATAAATTTATACTAATCCAGCAATCGAGGTTAGGTTATCACAAATCGACGTCTTTTACCATTGGAAAATTATAAATATCTTCTATACTTTTACCTTACTAATTATTTCATTAACAGTGAAAAATTAACGTACGGCTAATAATATTATTTTAACTGGGCGGTTAAAAAAACTTACTACAGAATACCAGTTGGAGTTATTATTTTTAGCGGTAAGGTCAAAATTAATATATTAACGGGATGGTTATTTTTAACCTATAAGATACAGAATACAGCTGCTAATATATAAAGAAAATAACTAAGTTTGTATGACCAATAATTATTAAAGATAGTATTTATTTAATTTCCAAAAGAATAGGAGTTTTCAATTATAAATTTATATTGAAGTGCAAGTAGTACTTTTTTTTCATAGTTTGGTTAGTATATTAAAAAATTAAAAGAAACTGAACTCACACAATTCTCTTTTCTGTTATTATTTTTCACCGTTATTATTTTGTTGCTTACCGTCTAATACTGTTTCCATGCAAGATTCAAGATTTTTTACTTCCATATGATAGAAGCAGAACTTGCAGCTCATTGAGAAACACTTGTAGCTTGCCGAGAGGTAATTGTAGCTTCTTGAAAGGCACGTACAGCCTGTTGTAAAGTTTTATTTGACATATCAAGTGCTGTAGACATTTCTGTTGTAGACCATACATATTTATCTATAGTTACAGAAAAAGAAAAAATATTAGAGGTAGCATTCATATAAATTTATAAAAAACCAAAAAACTAACGACATGATAGATATATATGTATACGACATACATAAATTACATAGAATAGTAGGTACGTATGTTATGTGGAAGGTATATATTTCATGTTTTTAAAGCAAAAAGTTATATAGGTATATATGAATATATTTTTTATCTCTGCTAAATATTTTTTGGATAGCATTCTTTAGTCGACTTTTCGACAGTTCCGCAAATATGTGAAATTCAAAGTGATTCAGACACACCCTTTGTGTTTTATGTATATATATAAAAAGAGTTCTTCTAATAGATCTTGCCTTCCACAATTCTTCAACCACATAGAGAGCCCCTAAATATGTACATACACCTTACAAAATATAAATCAATATATTTCAAAATTCTAACCTTAATTTCACAATTATTATTAACATTCGCTAAAAATTTTCCATATAAAATTATTATAAAAAAGTAACTCGCCTCTCAAGATCAATTGGAAATGTGAAAAAACTTAGTCCAATAATTCCAATATCGTTTTCTTTTTAAACACATAAATCTGTGACAACACAAACTGAAAAATTTCAACTAGGTCTAGGTAGTCACAAAGCTAATAATATTTTTCAAAGGGGGAAAGCTTATTTGTATCCTTTTGACTAATTCTTATATATTAAAATCCGGATAATGAATTTAGATACCTCAAACTACCTGAGACATTATTACAATAATAACATTTTTTATCGTGATATAATCAGAGGTTAGGTTCTTCTTCTTCTTCTTTTGGCCTCCACCCAGAGGGTATTTAGCCAGTTTCTTATGTACTTGTTTTTTTATTTAAGGGAATGCACCGTGAAGTGCATCTGAGATTGGTTACTCATATTCCCTCGATTGATTCCTATAAATCCTATATCTTGAGCGGGAGTGCAAATGAGGTTAGTAAACAACACAACACAGCATAGACTTTGCTCGCTCGAGGGCAACAGCCGAGCGTTACACACACCGAAGCTACAGTGGAGTGGAATATTAGTTATGCAAATGGTATAGGTTGTTGTATATCAGATTTCGTTCTATATTAATATTAAATTGTTAAAATTAAATTTTCTATGGGTTTGGTTCAGTGACCAGACCGTATTAGTAGTGACGTGACGCATTAGGCAACCAGCAAAACACTACCTATGGGAATTAGAGCGAAAGAACGAAAACACTTCTTACATTTTCGATCTTATATATTATAAGTGATATAAAGTTTGATAATAAAATTTCTAAAACAGCTTATACTTATTTGCCTTTTTTAATGAAATATATAATATATAAAAAATTTATTCTTATATACCATGTTAGTAAAAGATTAAACTTGCGAGTAGGCATATTAATTTATCATAAATTCAGTTATATTAATTATAATCTGATTTTCAAATTCAAATAAATTTGAATGAAATATTTTGTTAACTTCACGACGGTAATTCAATTGTACAAATGTCAAAATAACCAAAACGAAAACATAACCCTGTTATTTATTTCTCTCTTGGCTTTTTTAGAATTGGGAAAAAATATTGGAGTCTTTGTATTTAGAGTCTTAGTGGTTCTTTGATTAAGTAATTATTGAGGTAAATAAATAGCCATACAGTTATTTTTTTTACTTTTATCAAGGTAAATTATGAAATCAAATTTAAAATTCCTTGTTGCTATTTTTTTTAGGAATCACTGGCTGAAAGTTAAAAATAAGATGTGTGAAAAACCCATTGTTTCAATGAGTGCCATTTTTGAATATTGCAAAGTCATTCGCAGAGGAGAAAATTCTATTACATAGCATCATCCTCATCATCATCATTCTCGCCTTTACCAAAGGAAATTAATGAATAAAGTGTAGAACATTTTAAAAGTGATTTAAGAGCATGTGGACCTACAGGCTTAGGATGGCTTCTATCTTCGGAACCTACAGTAAATGAAGAGGCTATTGTTGTCGAAATTGAACAATTACTTTTTTTCGGCTGGTTATGCTGATCATAAGGATAAAATAGCATTCCTGAAGGAAAAATTAAAATTAACAAATAAAAAAATTATTAACATTCAAAAGATATAACTGTTGGTCAGTCCAATAATCCAAAGTGGTTTGTTGCACGGAAGCATAGGTTAACTGCTAGAAACATTGGACGAGTATTAAAGGCTCGTAAGAGAGGTTGATTTCCCCCGTCATTATTTCAGACAGTACCAAGTAGTAAGTTGTAATATTTCGAGAAATAAAAACAAAATATACTTAAATATTATTTGTAGGAAATACCAACGAAGGAGATTTGTTAGTGGAGATGGAGGTCAGTGATAATTATATCAAGAAGTTTGCAGATCTGAATAGTCGCTGCGAAGATTGTATGCAGCCCAAATGGACAGATGCCGTGGAGAATGAGGTTACTTCTGTGATATCTGATGGAACCGTTAATAGTAAAACAGGTAGACGTAAATTTAAGTTGCCCACCTTAGAATTTAAGAAGTTTGATGGGAATATTAAAGATTGGTTGCCATTCTGGTCTCAGTTTCAAAAAGTGCATGATGATCTGGATATAGACTTGAACAATAAAGTTGAGTATTTGATTCAAGCTATGGTGCCCGGTAGTAGCGCTAGGCAGCTCGTCAACAGTTTTCCCGCTACAGGAAGTAACTATAGTAAAATGATTGACTGTCTTCTCTCTCGGTTCGGTCATGAGGACTTGCAGATCTAAGTTTATGTTCGGGAATTGCTCAAATTAGTTGTAAATACTACTTCGTCTGGCAATAAAATAGACTTGTCTTTCTTGTATGACAAATTAGAGTCGCAGTTACGGGCATTAGAGACACTCGGCATTACATCCGATAAATATGCAGCCATGCTATTTCCTTTGGTCGAGTTAAGTCTTCCGTCAGACTTACTAAGAGTTTGGCAAGCGTAAAGGAGACCTGAGTGCTGAAGAATATGACAAATCAGAAATATTGGTGCTCAAACTAATACAACAAGAATCGTTTGCGAAAGAAAATGATAAGAAATTACGTGGCCTGAGTGGCTTTAAAAACAAAAACAGTTTAATTCGGTTGAAAACTCGTATTAGTAATAGAAACGATCACGAAAATTAAAGTCCAGCACCTGTCCTCTATGATTGTGAATCAGTCATAAATTCAAGGCCACTTACTTGCCCTTCATCGAATGCTAATGAATTGGTACCTCTAATGCCACTGATTTTCCTTAGACCAGGTACCAGGTGACATTCCAGATTGTGATGCCGTTGATCAACAGTCGCTATCTAGGAAGGTGTTACGCAGACAAAATTTGTTGGAAGATCTTCGGAGGAGGTTCCGCAACGAGTATTTGGGCCAATTAAAATGGTGGTCCAAAAGAAATAAAGAAAGCCAAGTGAAGGTGGGAGAAGTAGTATTTGTGGGTAACGATAAAGACAGACGAGCGAATTGGCCTCTTGGTCGTGTAATCGAGCTCTTGCCTGGAAATGACGGGCGGGTTCGACTGGTCAAGGTCCTTACGGAAAGGGGTCAATTTCTGAGACCTATACAACGGCTGTATCCATTGGAGTGTGCAGCAGACTCCTCTCAGATGGAAAACGGTGGCAGTTCGGACTCCTTCATGGAATCAGAGACGCTTTCAAGAGACGAATGTGCTAGTGCGGAATCGGGAGTGTCAAAAAGCAGAGTATCCGAATCGAAAGTGAAAGTTACGTGAAATGGGCGAAAAGTTAAAACCCCGGTTAGGTATTCTGATGACTGTCACTAGTATTAAACAAACCTACATATATAGATATGCCTTTTCCCGTTTGATCTACTTTTATGCTATACATATTTAAAATTATGTTTTTATTTGTTGTGCTAGTTGTTTAATTTTACTGATTGCTTTCTTGGTTCTGGAAAGATGATGACCCATGTTTATTTGTTGTAAACATGCCTCAGGTGGGAGGATGTCATAGCCACCATACGGTGTATTAAGGAATGTTTTTTGGGAGAAAAATCGGGGCAGGCAGAAAAATGAGAACAGTCAATGTCAAATAAATAAGTTTTTCGTTTGCATTTTACTTTTGAAAAAGATTCTAATACACCTAAAGAATAAAGATTTATTCAAGATCTTGCTACTTTATTTGGAAAAAACCGAACCGTATGCTTAGCGTAAAACGGGTTATTTTATCACGAAGCAATTGACATTTACTAATTGTTCCCACTTGGCTCTTAATTGCAAGTTTGAAGGATACCGAAAGATTTCGCACCTTGTTTCATTTATGTGATCGCAATCTGGTGCGAAACACGAGCCCATGTTAAATATTTTATATATGATACATAAAAACAAATCACTAATAAACACAGTAATAATAAATAACAGGCGACACGAATTACAGATATAATCTAGAATAATTTATTAATTTAATTATTCAAATTTGTCTTCTGCAACTGAATGAAATGAAGTTAGTAGCGTATTCCGTTTTGCTATTGGTCAATATAAATGGACTTATAATTTATTTAAAAGTTATTTAAACATTTTATATTATAACAATGATGTAGGTACCAGTATTTAACATTTAACTACTGAGTTCACTTCGAAAAATTCCGTAAATATCGTCTATATTAGAGAAATTAATCATTTAATAACGTGTTACATTTTTTAAATGAAAATGACACTTATATANCTGTTGGAAACAAATTCTAATGCACTCGGAACAGGGCTATTACTTACACTTACTACACTTTTATTGATCGTGATTATCGATGAATTTTCGAACTTATGTCACTTTAGTAAATTGAGTACTTCGGACTTTTGACACTTCTAACTATCAGTCGCGTTTCTCGCACACTCAACTCTCGACATGGGTGACTGGACAGGTAAATTTTTCACAAACATTGATTTTTGTTGACTTCAATTGTTATTTTTAGGAGCAAATGGATGATGTTACTTCTTCGGAAATTTATACGTCACTGAGCTACAATGAGACCGAATGTAGTTTTGTTGTAATAGAAACAAATGAAGCATTGTCATAGGATTGTGATACCAAACTTTTGAGAAATTTTATTTTCAATTTATTAACTTTCTGCATGTTTTATGCTGAATGATGATTACATTTTCAGATTTCCCGATTTTTTTAACATTTTTTGATACCAATAACATCTTTCTAGGTTGTTTTGAAACTCCGAGTAGATTTTACTTACTATTGCAAATTGTAGTTAAATTATGTTATATCGCTTATTTTTTACATGGTTGTCCACTCACTGTCTTTACTACTATCCCTTTTCCACTTTTCCAACAGTCTATCTGTTTTTTGAAACTACACGATTAAAACTTTCTAGGTTCATTGACTCACCAAAAACTTTTAAAGTTTACACAGAAATTTGAACTTTTGTTAGAATCTACATACAGTTTATGAAATTGTGAAGTTTCTCTAAGTTCTGCACATACTATTTTGCAGTTCTCTGCAACTCGTAAAACAAGAAATTTACAAGTTCTTACGGAACACCAATCATCATTTAAACAATACATAAATCTTTTTGCAGAGGCTCAGGTTTAATTCTCCACATAAATTCTGATCACAGGTATGCCGTATTTTACTAATATACCAGATTTACTGCATATCACATCTTTATATGGGAAACACCTTTACCTTCCATTGATCACGTCAAAATTCTGATAATTTTTCAAACGTGCTCATGCCTGTACATTTACTTATTATCTGACATTACAGATTAGTTCTATAGTATTATTTTATAACTTTTTTGTCATGCATGAGTGCATTTTACTAGTTATTGAATGGAAAATTACAATTTTCGTGACAATTTTGACAGTTTAGAGATTTTATCAGACAATATTAATACTTTTCTAAAACAAACTTATTTTATATGAAAACCATCCTTCACTTTTGTTAAATTTCTAATTCAAATAACCACTCAGACTTCCTTCTCTCTTCTTTATTATCTTTTAAAAGTAGAAAACTATATTTTTAAGAATTCAGCAATTTATATGTCACATTTTCTTTTATATATTTTCAACAACCTACAAGCAACATCTATCTTCTTTTTTCTATACATATTAGATATAACAATAGTAAATATGATTACTTCAATATAATTTTCAACAACTTTAGCTTTATTTTGTAGTACAGATCCTTTTTGTGTCAGAATATGCAATTATTATAGTTTATTTTTATTTATTTAAAAAATTTTATAATTCGGTCCCAATTTTGGTGTTTTATTTTTTCAAACAAATAAATCATAACAATATACAGTATGTCCACGGACTGAATTTAGAAAAGGTCAAATGGACCAAAAACTGAAAGATACGAAAAAAGACATTCTTGATAAAAGTTTCTGCTTAACAAATGAATGACATATTATCAAAAATTTAAGTATTCTCTAGCACATCTCTAATCAGCTTTATATATTTTTTAGCGATGAACTCGAAATTTACCATTAAATTTTCTCCAAACATGTATTTTCAACAGGATGGTTGTCCAACACATTGTGCTCGTGAGGTGACGGAGTAGCTTAACCATAGATTTCGTCCAAGGCAGATTGGCAAAAATGGTCCAATTTTGTGGCCCCCAAGGAACCCTGACTAAACCATGGGCGATATGTTTCTATGGGCCCGTTTAAAACAAATTGTTTATACTACTCCAGTAAGAAGATTCGCCATTGTCAAGTTATTCATACCAATACAATCCCCTTGTGGTAGACACTTCAAACCATAACGTTACAAGCATATTTATGTTTATGCTTAAAAGTAAGTGGAATTTGTAAGCACGTCAACGAAATTCTTTACACTCCTTTCTACACCACCTGCGAGGTAGTATTCCTGGCCCGTTTTAGTTTTTAAATCAAAATAATAATAAAAATGTATTTATCAAGCAGCTACAACTAAACAAGAATCAAAATTACCGTTACGTATTTACAACAACTGAACTGGCACTGGACCCTCTGCACCATCTTAGCTGACATTAGCATTTGGTCTTCTACCTACCAATCGCCCTATACAATTTTCATTAAGCCACTCTTATATTCTACCAAAATACGCAGGAACACCATCCATTGTATTCAGTTATTTTGTCGTATATTTAATGGAACATGCTCTGATAATTCGTTCACAGAAAATTCGCGTTGTAAAGATTTTGTCCGAATTTTATTTTTTGTTATTTTAAACTTTTGTAAGTACCAATTTTCTCCCACTGTTAACATTAGTAAATAAAAACAACAAAAACATTTATAAGTCTGCTTTGACTCAGCCACCAAACATGATCAAATAGGCATTGAAAATGATAATGAAAAACTAAATTTTTTGAAATTTTTTAGAGCCCTTTAGTTTGCGAAAGAAAACTCGTAGAGCATAACTTCAAATATTTATTTTTTTTAAATAAAACATCCACCGTTTCATTTATTCCCTACCTTTACGTTACACCTCGTATTGTATACGTATATATCTACTATATTCATACACACATTCGTAAGTATATTAATATACATATACTGCTAAAATAAACTTAAGAATTTATGTGTATTGTTGGTTGTCTATATTTCTTAATAAAATTAAAATTTTCTTTAATTAATTCTCATTAATAGATAAGTTATAAAATTTAGATTATATATTTGACTTTACTCACTTTACTTTTATCACTGGGGTCAACTCCTTATCTCAGATAGCAGATTAACAATTCATATTGTAATCCAAGCATTCTTTTTTTATATCTATTATAAGTTAATCCTTTTGAAAGTTGATTATTTTTATTTCTTATTCACCATTTATTTATTTTGATTACTAACTTTTAAACTTGTTTTCATTAATATTCGCTTTATTTTATATTTAG